AAAAAAAAAAAAACAGAAAAAAACAGACAAACCGCAACTTGCACCAACCCCACGCGTTTTCCTCGAGAGCCCACTTTTAAGTTGAAACCTAGTGGCGTGGTTTTCACGCTAGGCTCACAAACCCAGCGCTTTCAACCTCTCTCCCCCCTTTAAAAACCAAGCCGATAACCCCCAAGACGCTGTTAAAATCACTATCAGGAGAGTGAGTGTGTGTGTGTGTGAGAGAGAGAGAGAGAGAGAGAGAGAGAGAGAGAGAGAGATTTGATAAGAATGTCTGGCGGAATCGCGCGCGGCCGTCTCGCGGAGGAGCGCAAAGCTTGGAGGAAGAATCATCCCCATGTTTGATCTCTGATTCTTTTCTTTTAGCAATTCCTGTTCAATTTTGGTGGCTTAGTCATAACTTGTTCATTTCTCCTGTTGTTTTTGGTTGTTTATGTGATGGATTCTGAGTTTGTTTTTGTGTTTTTCTGTCAAGGGTTTTGTGGCTAAACCAGAGACGCTGTCTGATGGTACCGTGAATTTGATGGTGTGGCACTGCACTATTCCTGGTAAGGCCGGGGTAAGTATCGCACGCACTTGCTGTTCTGATTTATTGGAGTTCTTGAATGATATAATCGAAACACGGAATTCGTATGATCTTGTGAGGATGTGATGGGTTCTAAGTTCTGGGTTTTTGCTTCGGCTTTTAGGTTTACTTTTCTATGAGGAGAAATAGTTTTATGTGCTTGTTCTTTATAGCTAATGTCAAAGGCATACATGTAGGTTAATTGTTACGGAGCCCTTTCAGTCGATGATTGTTGATTATCTTGGGGTGTTATGGAATGATGTGGATTGATGTGATCATAAGCATATTTAGAAATAAAGGAGATTTACATAACCTGGTGCGTCTTGTATTGCTCACAGTATCAGCAATAAGAATTTTGTATAGAATTGCAGTGAAGTGCAAAACTTTCTGAAAGTGTGAGAGGTTGTGGTTTTGATTTGACCTTGCTTTGCTATGGTTGAATTGTTTCAGAAATTTTTATCGGCAGATTTGGTTGTTCCACATGAATGGATACACTCTATGTGTTTCTCAGCCCATTTGGAGGGATTGCATGACATCTCATAATTGAATTGAAAATGTAGGATAAGTTACAAAATGTGTGAAGCATCATCCGTAGGCTTACTTTTTAAACTGTAACGTAGTTCATTGGCTTTTTCTTCCCTATTTTTTTTATTTTTTTTATTTTTTTCTAGATTATTGAACCTATGCTGAATTTAGCATAGGAACTGATGAGGTCTTTAGTTTATGAAGGAAAAGAACTACCGTTTATCAGGAAAATGCAGTGAAATAATGAATATCGAATATCGTGGGGGTTAATTGATTGATGTGGTTACCTCTCTCTCTCTCTCTCACAGAGACACACACACACACACACACTGTAGATGAGTGTTGTGAGTCTTGTGGCTTTGATTTTATGTTCCTATATGACTGGTTTCACTCTCTAAGAGCTGTTCGGGATCTAGTAATAGTGTTTAAGCAGAATCTACCAATTGTAACACCCCGCTATCTTACTAGTATCAGAGTCAATTTTTCGCAAAATCTTTTCTAATAAAAACTTTTGAGTTTGCGAAATCAAAACTCGGGATGCTACTAAAACTTTTTTGTTCTGAAAAACCCGCTTTCCTTTAACTAGGTCTAAGTGTTGATTTAGACATAAAGAAAAATAGATTATATATTAATCAAACTAGCATGTGAAACTAAACAAGATTCGACTAGTGAATCGGACTAGAATCTGAAAATTGACATGCAAGTTCGAAAACTGTAAATATCAGCGGAAATGAAACGTGGCATAATATATATACAAAAATCCACAAAACGGCATCTGACCGAGTCCACGACCACAACCACCAAGCTGAGCTCACACCTCCAGTCTGATCCTGTTATCCTGAAAAAGAAAATGGAGTGGGGCGTGAGCACGAAAGACTACTGTGCTCCTCAGAAACCCATATTAAAGTAGACAACAATAATAATAATAATATCATGATCGACAATATATAATTTGAAACTGAAACTGTACTGAAATCTCCCGGCAAATCTGAGTCGGTAACCATGTGCACACTCTAGTGGAATATTAAGGCAAACTAGGGCCACCACAAGAACTTAGGATGAAATATTAAGGCGAACTGGGGCCACCACCCTTAAGCGGATACTGTATACATACCTCGAACATGATATCTGTAATTATACTCAATGTAATACCCAGGCTGGGTCCCCAACTGTACTGCTCGAACTGAAATGTAAGTGCTGACTGGACTCTCTTTTGAATTTATAACTGATAGCCCTTTCGTTACTTGAAAGGAAATGGAATGCATCTTCGGTGCCTAAGCTTGAGTGAGCGCATCGCAACTGTGCCGATTTCTTTCTTTTGGCTTTCAATTCACCCTCTCTGCCTAG